CAAGTGGTCGGCCGACCACCTTGGCTGGTCGGCCAGCCTTCTGCTTTTTGGCCTTCCTGAGTGCAACACAACTGTGCCAGCTGTGAAGCATTTGACCCCCTCTTCAAGATTTCACCCTTTTGTTTGTCTTCTTAAGGAAGCTTTGGTCCATTTGCTTAGCTTATAGGAGAAGCTTGACCCTTTTGGTTAAGCTTCTTTTAGAAGCTTTGACCCTTTGTTGAAGCTTCTTAGAGAAGCCTTGCCCCTTTGTCTTCTATAAGAGAAGCTTTCCTCACCATTTGCAAGGGTTAGAAAAATTTGGTTGAAGCTTATACACTTCTCCCTCCATAGCCCTCTTCTTCAAGCTCCAAATCCCATTATTCTTGCACCCATTACACTACACCTCCTAGCACAACACCTCCACCATCCATCCAAGCACCTTGGAACTGATTTGCAGAGGTTGAAGGCTCATTACCTTGGTCCAGAAGTTGCTGAGGGTCGGCTCTACAAGGGTAAGTCTCTATTTCCCATTTTTTTGCATTATTTTGCTTCATTGCTTAGCCCTATTTGCAAGCATTTCTGGGTTTTGTTATAAACTGAAAAGTATCTTATTTTGAGCTCCTCTTGAATTTTGATTAAGGATACTTTTCTGTTTGAGGTCATATACCTCCTTGTATGCTCTATCCCTCTTTGTAGACTTGTTTTGCTTCATATCTTAGCCCTACTTATGAGCATTTTCGAGATTTGTCATAAACTGAAAAGAGCCTTATTTTGAGCCCCTCTTGATGTTTTATTAAGGGAATTTTTCTATTTGACATCATTTACTTCCTTGTATGCTTGTTTACCTCTTGTTTTGAGCCTTGCATCTAGGCCTTTGTTGCATGCTTTGTTTGGCCTTCTAGCCACTGAAATCCAGTGGATTTTTAGTGGCTAACATATTGTTTTAAGAGCCAAAATCAGAGAGGGGTGACCCCCTCTCTCCTTGCTTTGTTTACTAGCTTTGTTGGCCTTACAAAGGACCCCCATTTTGCATGCTTTGAAGTCTTGTTTCAGGTAATTATTTGTGATTTTTTAGGTCTGCCTTAACTCTTTTCAGAGCCCCTTTGGCCATATTTTGTGTCTATCATGCATGTGTGGAGCAATCCTCCTTAAGGCCTTTCAAAGGGGCTTTCATTTGCATGTTTCATTGACCTATTTCAGGGCCTTTTTGGTGAGTTTTAGGGCTGTCATAACTAATTTCCAGAGTTGGTTTTGTCATTTCACATGTCTATCTTGTATGTGTTGAGTAATCCACCTCATGGCCCTCCAATGGAGCCCATCATTTTTGCATACATTGGATACATTTCAGTGGTTATTTGGACATATTTTAGCATACCATGTTCCTATTTGTGGCTGGTTTGGTGACCTCTCTTGTGCTTCATATACATGCCATGTAAACCATCCTTACTAGCCTATGTTGCATTTTGTTTTAGCCCTTCATGTTAGCACTTTTTGGCCATGCTTAGAACTGATTTGGTGCATGTTTAGGACTGCCTTGGCCCTATTTTTCATGCGTCATGGTCAAATAATGCTTTCTTTGCATACTTGCGGTTCAATGCATTTACCTAGTTTTGAGTTTCGGGGCCTATTTCATGCATCGAGTGACATGTTTCCATGATTCGGGACCATTGAGCATCTTATTTCAGAACTGGAAATTACATGTTTGTATGCCATTTTTCATCCCTTGCCATGCTTTGGTAGAGTGGCATTTGATGCCTTAGGATCGGTCTCTTGCATCGTGCATGTTTGCATGTGTTTCGGTTGTCTCATTTCCATCATATGGCCACTGATTTGAGTGTGGCTGAGGTCCAATCATATTGGTTAAAGTCCACCTTGCATTGTGTATGCCATGTTGCAATGTGTTGTGCATGTTATGTTGTTAGCATTGTGTATGCCATGTCATTCCTCGCATTGTGTATGCTAGGTTGTTAGTAGCATTGAGTATGCCATAGGTTGTTAGTCGCATTTAGTTCATGAGCATTATGCATGCCATGTAGTGTTAGCATTGTATATGCTAGGTGCATGTTTGCATTTTCATCCCTTGCATGTTTGCGTCATTCAGTGGCATTGCATCTAGGATTGCATGTTAGAATTGTATTCATGCATATCATGCATATTGCATTGTGTTTGGAGTAGGGTTTAGTCTAAACACGGGAAACGAGGGACGTTTCATACCCCAAGTGACGAAACGTGTCTCAATTCCCGGTCGCCGACACTCCGGATTATCCATGATGGAGTTTTGTCCTTGTTAAGTTCATATGTGCAGTCATTTTACATCGAGTCGTGCAATTCGATTCCTCGGCCATCATGCATCGAGATGCGTGATTGGTGGCACGAGGATCGAGGACTACACTCCCTAGAGCTTGTGCAATGACGGGGAGAGTGGTCGTGCACACATGTGTTGCAAATACCTTGCTTTTTCTTTCTCTTGCCTTTGTTGCAGAAAAACCAGAAACTGGAGGCAGGAACTGTAATAACCCAACCCTCGTATGTGTTCCTGATATATTTTCTGTCCCTCATTATGCGTATTTATATGCTTATTATGAAATGTCACGTGGAATTAAGTTTAAGTAAGTGAACCTTATGACTATGGATTCATATCTGTTGAATAAGGAGACACGTGGGTTCATTTTTGACATTTTTATTGGTATGTTTGGAACCTCTTCATTTTATTTTGGGGTGTTGCTTGAGGTGGTAATATGATGGTAAAGTAAGATTGGACCAAAAACTTTAATTCGAATAATTCGTCTACGATCAGCTGGCGCCTTTTTGCCTTTTTCTTTTTCTACACTTTGAATTTGGATGTGAGGTTAGAACCATTGGAAAGCTTATCTCCGGGGCTTCAATTTGACCACAAGAATGACCTAAAACGGAGTCCGTATGAGAGAGTTATACCAGTTTGAAGTTTTCACATCTGTGCTGGAAGCAGGTCCGCACGTGCGGGGATAGCGGCGCACGTGCGGGACTGTGCGGGACAGCAGCTCAAAAACGTGATTTTTGGACCATTTCTTACATTTTCTTTTCCTGTCTTCTTCTCCACTCCTCCATGTCCGAATCCCTAGCCCCCAAAACCTTGATTTCCTCCACTTTTATCAACAATCCACCATGGTTCTTGCATCAAGGAAGGAGAACAAGAGAAGATCAACATTTTCTACCGTTTGGATTTCGAAATTTTGGAGGAATCTCATCAAGCTTACTTGATTCTTGAGGGCACACTTCAGTAGGGACAAGCACTCCGTTGTAGCACTGTGAGTAGTAGTACGATAGTCGTACATTCAATGATCGTTAATGATTCTTATTGTTAACCTTCTATTTCTTGCAAGTATGTTGATTAGAAAATCTAAAGGTATTATTGCGCAATACATTTTATTATTGTTGACAAAGAATACTAACATTATGTGCAAGATATCTATAGTGATTCATGACGAACCAAGGGAACGTATAAGCACTATGGAATCATGGTATTCACGTATCTCTGAAATCATTCAATTTGTAAATGTGCTTATCTCTCATTGGTAATTATCAGGAACGTCCTGTTAAACTTAACTCATGTGAATGATGTAACGGCTACCAGTAGTACCCTGCTAGGTACAAGTCAAATATGGTAACATATATGAACGAGCAAACAAAGGTGTATGCTTCTATATGCTATTAATAGATCAAGTGAACTACGCTATTTCTTAACGAATAATTAGCTAAGACCACGGATTGTTTTATACGTTAATACCTGCTAAGTATTATGATAAACAACGGATTGACTTACGGATGGCTTAACCCAAAGACAGAATTAAATGTCGACGACCTTGTCATGTAACCCACATTATAATGTAACATGTTCTGTCTTTGCTAAGTGTACTGTAATGACATGATATCACAAGAAATGTTCGATGTTCTAATATGTTACGTGTTGAAGTAATGAACAGTTGGCCATATATGTAAGGTATTCATGACATCCGTAGCACACGACCCTTACCTGGGGGTAATAATACCGTGTTTTCAAGTATGTTTTCAAGTATGTTACAAGTTCAAGTATGTTTTCAAGTACGTTTTCAAGTATGTTACCAGTTCAAGCATGTTACAAGTATACGCATGTTACAAGTTCAAGTGTGGTACAAGGTTATATATGTTACAAGTTCAAGTAGATACAAGTTTACGTATGTTACAAGTTTACAAGTTTAAGTCTGTTACAAGTTTACGTATGTTATAAGTTTAAGTCTGTTACAAGTTCACGTATGTTATAAGTTCAAAGATATTACAAGTTCTTAGTACCGAGAAACAAGAATGCTTTATATTGACTTGTTAGCACTATTGAAGTGCCAGGTATAATTAAGTTTGAATTCTGATTTTTGTTTATGTATTAAGCATAATGCATATGTATGAATTTGTTTCCGTTTATGATACGACATGATATGTATGGTTGGTCTGTAAAACCTGTTAATTACTGGTATGGAACAAAGTGCTATTTGGAACTAAGTGCTACATTGTGAGCCACCTCTAGAGTCCATGTGAGCCACCTTTAGAGTCTATACATATATGAATGAGGCTTATAGCCAATCTGGGCCTATGGCCATTCTATATGATCTATGAAGCCAGAGGCCATTCTGTATTTTCGGTATGGAACAAAGTGCTGTACGGAACTAAGTGCTGCAATACGAGTCACCTCTAGAATCTGTAAACGAGCCACCTCTTGAGTTCATACATATGTGCAAGTTATGAGGCCTATGGCCATTCCGGATAAGTTGTTATAATACGAAACAAAGTGCTACACGGAACTAAGTGCTACGATGTGAGTCACCTCTAGAGTCCGTGTGAGACACCTCTTGAATTCATACACATATGTTCAAGGGCTTCATGCCATATGTTCAAGGGCTTTACGCCATATGTACAAGGGCTATGTGCCAACATGTTTAAAAGTTTAATGATAATATGTTCAAGGGCTATCGCCACTTTGTTCAAGGGCTTAAAGCCATTATGTTCCAAGATATTATGTTTCAAGTCAATATGTTTCAAGACTAGGCCTTAGGCCGTTCAAGAATTAACACAGAATCCATTAACCTTATGCCTCATTATTTATGTATGCATTGATATGTATTATAATTCAAGTTGAGCATTGAATCGTTTATGTACTATTATTCACTGAGCTTCGCTCACTTTATATTATGTATGTTCTGTAGGTAATCACTTTGGGAGTCCGTCTTAACCCTTGAAGCTCACCCTTCAGTTGTCAGCCTCAGTATGCCCAGGCTCCCAGACCAAGTCTATGCATTTATGTCAAGTTTTGTTAAGATTTTGGCTTGCACTTTAATTATTTACCTAAGGTTAAAATGTATGTATATGATCCCTTTCTATACCAATGTTTGTTTATGCGGCCATGTATGTGTATGGGTATGTCTAAAAATAAATGACTCTCACGAATGTGATCCTGGCATGTTAGGTTTAGTTCAATGGATGCTTTTCTGTGTTATTTTATTATATTAAATGCTTCCGTTCAGGCCCCATATGATATGTATATCAGGTTAAGTGTCCGTTTCTGTATGGGTCATGCCCGAACTTTTAGGGGCGAGTTTGGGGTGTGACAGGAACTGGTCGGCCGACCAGTTTTTTTGGCAGGCCGACCACCTCCTTTGGTTTTTCCCACATAAACTGGTCGGTGGGTGGTCTCCAAGCCCAATAGCTAGTCGGTAGCCCTCCCACAGCTTCCCAAAGTGGAGTTTCAGCCTTCCGAAGCTTTGTGCAAGTTTCTGGATTCAATTGCAAACAAAGGCGAGTCAAGGCATCGCGATGGAATTTACCGACAAGGCAAATTGAGCATGCATACACCCTCCACCATTCCGAGCAGAGCTGAGGCAGTCCATTGCACGTAGCATAGCATGCTAGTTTACTTTGCTCACCTTGTTGCATTGGCCTTGGTTTGGCCTTTTAGCCACTAAAATACAGTGGATTTTCAGTGGCTTAGATGTGTTTTTGAGCCCTAAAATCAG